ATAAAGTCACTTGGGTTTCCCCAGATAATGCAACAGAAAATCAAATCGACCACATTGCCATCAGCAAAATGTGGAGACATTCATTATGTGATGTCAGAAATAAAAGAAGTGCAGACATGACTTCTGACCACCATCTACTAATCGGTGAAATACAACTCAAATTAAATGCGGTCTTTAGAAAGCCACAATTCAAAAGGAAACGGTTCGACCTCGCCAAACTCGACAACCCTACTGTTCAAAATAACTATCAATCTCTTTTATCGGCCCAAATCCCTAATCCCTTGCCACTAGAAGAAGAAATCTTTGAAGCCGAAACTTATTGGGAACAAGCAAAATGTGCCTTCACTGAAGCAGCACAACAAAGTGTCGGTATTCCTCAACGTCAAAATAATCCGTGGATCACCGAACATACGTGGAATCTTATAAAAGCGCGCAAAGGAGAAAAAGAAAAGGTTAACAGGGCAAGAACGCGCCAAACAAAGCAGCAGGCACAAGCCAACTACAGTATTGCCAACCGCAAAGTTAAACGCAGCGCTAGAGCCGATAAGCGCAGATGGCTCGACAATTTAGCAACAGAAGCTCAAAAAGCAAGCGAATCACATAGGCTCAAAGACCTACACAACATCACTAAAGCTATGGTGGGACGTAAACACAGGATTGCAAAGCCAATAAAAAATACCAGAGGCGAACTAGTACACTCTACCGAAGATCAGCTAAAAGTTTGGGAAGATCACTACAGAAATCTCCTAGCGGGAAACAACACCTATCCTCAGCAGGAACTATGTAGTAGACACCACGAACATGTTGCTCGCAACGATATAAACACAGATGTACCTAACATCAGTGAAATTGAGGCAGCAATAACTCAGCTTAAAGCAGGTAAGTCCGCTGGTCCGGACAATATTGCTCCCGAACTGCTCAAAGCAGACAAAATTTCAGCTGCTCAAATTATTCAACCAATTGTCAACAACTTCTGGTCCCAAGAGTCATTACCGCCTAATCTTAAAGACGGCATCATTATTAATATACCAAAGAAAGGTAACCTGATGGAATGCTCCAACTGGAGAGGCATAACTTTACTAAATGTAGCTTATAAAGTTATTGCTCAAATCTTACATAAACGTTTAACTTCGGCCGCTGAGCCTACACTACGAGCCGAGCAAGCAGGATTTAGGCATAATCGATCATGTGCCGACCACATAAACAGCCTTCGAATAATAGTCGAACAGTCTAGCGAATGGCGATCTCCCCTATACTTGCTGTTTATCGACTTTAAACGTGCATTCGATACACTTCTCCATACCACCATCTGGTATGCATTAGAGTGTAAAGGTATACCGAGTAAATTAATAAATTTAGTAAAAGGCTTGTACTCTGACGCGCACTGCTCAGTACTTCACGAAGGGCGTCTCAGCGGGCAAATCCAAATTAAGTCTGGCGTCCGACAAGGTTACATTCTTTCACCTATACTATTTAATATAGTCTTAGATGTGGTTATGTCGGAAGCTATGAGCACAAATCATGGCATATCATTCGGCCTTCATAACAAACTTACTGACCTCGATTACGCTGATGACATCTGTTTACTAACGCATAACTTTTCCCAGATGCAAATATCGTTAAACAACATCGCAAAGCGTGCATTGGCAGCTGGTCTGTCAATCAATATCAACAAAACCAAGTCTATGCGTCTCAATTCAAACTGCTTAACGAAGTTTCAACTAGATGGCTCCTACATCGAAGATGTACAAAGTTTCTGCTATCTGGGAAGCTACATTTCGAACAACGGCGGCAGTCGGCAAGACATACAGTACAGGCTATCGAAAGCGAAGCAAGCGTTTGGAACCCTTAACAAAATCTGGCGTTCATCCAACATCACACAACGCACTAAGATACACCTGTACAATGCAAACGTAAAATCAACTTTACTATATGGTAGTGAGAGTTGGAACCTAACGGCAAGAGACGCACAACAGCTACAAGCCTTTGCCAATCGTTGTCTACGACGCATCCTTCATGTATTCTGGCCAGCAACCATAACCAATAATGAGCTCTGGTTTAGAACGAATCAGCCTCTTATAACTGATGAAATAATGATGCGTAAATACAAATGGCTTGGCCACACGTTAAGAAAACCCGCTGATGATATCGCAAGAAATGTCTTAGATTTCAACCCTCAAGGCAGTAGAAGACCAGGGCGTCCGCGCAACACTTGGAAACGACAAACTGAAGCCGAATTAAGAAATGCTGGAAAGAGCTGGAGTGAAACAAAACGTCTTGCATTAGATAGAGTTCAATGGAAACTATTTGTTACGGCCCTCTGTTCCACCTAGGAATAAAAGGATTAAATAAAAATAAATATATTATTATCATTTTTGACTTTTTTTAAAGCTTCGAATATTGTTATTGATTATGTGTACAAAATTTTCAATTTTAATTATCAATAAAATTTTAAAAGTGAAATTGCACAAAAAGTTAGCTATTTTTTCACGGCCATTTTCACTTTTATCTGCAATACCCAAAAAAGATATCGAAGGATTTTCAAACAAATTTTCCTACTTATAGCCAAATAGTAAATCTTTACATAAAAAAAAGAATTGACTTGCGCACTGCTTTAAAGTACTTGATGTCAGTCCGATTCACAGTCTTCGACTGCTACACATCTCTAAATGAGATATCGACGCCGGTCAATATTTCTCTAATCTGCGTTTCCGATCATAAGAATATTTTCTGCAATTGCAAAGCAGACGAGCAAGCCAGACGGGTTGCTCCAGGAAACCACTCGGAACACATAAACAATCTACGCATGTCGTTGTCATTCAAATTGGTATGAGTTCTTCCTGTGCTGAACTTTTTAGTAAAAAAAGAGAAAACTCTACGATATGCCGGCATCTGTATGCAATTTAACCACACATAGAAGAAAATCGAATTCTATCATAGAGATGCCCCATAGATATATCAGTCTTGTAGTAGGTTTACTTACAGGTCACTGTATTTTAAGTAACCATGCGAGAAGACTAAATTTCCATCTCAATTATACCACCCGAAGTTGTGGAAAGGACGATATCTTCCATCTGCTTTGTTTCTGTCCAGCAATTACGGGGCCCCGCCGTACCACTTTACGGCAAGATCTCCCGTTAAATAGCATTATAAGCTTTGTCAAAGGTTTTAGATGGTTTTAACCCCTGGGTTCTTAGTAACACGGTAACACTTATCCGGTAGGGGTAAGTCGATCCCCCTGGGATCGCCGGTATAACCTAAGCTAAAATAATAATGAAACAATAAAATACAAAATATAATAAAATACTATTTTTATATATAATATATATATAGTATAAAATATAATAAAATACTATTTTTATATATAATACATATATAATATAAAATGTAATAAAATACTATTTTTAATATTTTTTTATTAACTTTATTATGCAAGTTTCTTAAAGTTTACATGAATTTTTGTTAAACTATTTTACTCTGCGTATGCTTCGTTCTGGTTTTATGTATTTTCTATAGTACAATAGGTTGTATCATTCTAAATATATGATTTTTTTTTGTTGGTAGAACTGTGATTAAATTAAATAATAAAGCATTTACAAACAATTATTCAAGAACATTTACATTGAAACTTCCATTCATTATGAGCAATACTTAGAAGGATTGATTTATATTCGTTAAAGCACACATAATACTGAATCGGTTCAACTTAAACTAATTTGTTAACTTTTAAAACTTATGTCTTAAAAGTCATTATTTGATCTTTATAAAACTGAAAACGTAAACTATTTATAAAAATTTTATACTTAGTATACTTTTGATTGCTCAATAAAAAACTTTAATTTCATTATTAAATTAGTTTTTTTTTTTTTGTTTTTGCTAATATATTTATGTTAATATCTTTTCTTATAACACCTATAATAGTTCATATAACTTTAGGCTATACATACGCTTTTATGTTTATGTTTATGTTCGTTTTATTTTATATGCAAGCAACAAATGAAATGTAATTCATAATTATATTTAATAAAGCTTACACGTAATTAATTTTAATTATTATAATTTTGATAATTAGTAAATTTATTTATTAAATAAATTTGATTTATTTACATTTACGATTTAATATTATTTTCATTCATTTTTATGCTCTGTTTAATTTTTAGTTGTTTTTAAATAATACCGCAATTATCATTAATCAAACTTTCACTTATATTTACAATAAATAATTTGCTTTAGATTTGCATTAATATTTAATTAGTTGCTTCAATTTATTTACACTCTCGTTTTAGTGATTTTTTTATTTATGTTTATATGCCAAAAAAAAAAAATTATAACTCATATACATGAAAGGATTTAAAATCAAATATCAAAATTGTAAATTAATGATTTTGGTTGACAATTATACAAACATCAAATTATCACTGACGTGTATTTTAGTTTTATACTTTAAAGCATATACAACATATTTCAAAAAAAGATAAATAAAATAAATGAATTTTTTTTTTTTTTGTGGAAAGTACATAAATATTTACTGCAAAAATAAATAATAAAAAGTTGGCTGTATGATGACAATATATTTATTTTTTTAGTTTCATTAATTTTAATGACTAAAATCGAAAAGCTGTATGCACTGCAATAAAATAAAGATTATATTAATGAAAAACTGTAAAAAGATATTTTTTCATTAATTTAAAAACTTTTATGAAGTTAATTTTTTTTTCTGAATTTTATTGTTTACATTTATTCATTTACATATGCGTATGCAAATATAGATATAGTGTATATTTTTTAACTATTTTGGCAACTGATATTACATTACATACATTCTCATTATTCGTACATTGTTTTTATATATTTTAATTATTATTTCAAAATTTATTA